GTATATAAGTCTAACTGCTATTGCTATTGCTATTGCTATTCCCATGCCATTGTGATTCTATGTACTTTTTCAAGAAACAAATCTACAGATATTAAAATTGAATATTTGAAAGATTATCACAGATCTCAAAAGATTCACATTTATTTCACTTCAATAGCCTGGGTATTTATTTATTTTTACAGACTTACCTCCTGGAAAAACTTTTCACCCATTGGACCAAACTGATGGTCTGAGGATTTAATGCCAGATACTACAAATCCGGAACTATAAATCTGAGGCTTCTGAAAGTCAGTTTTAAATTTTTCGTAGAAAATATTGCCTGGTTTAATGTCTCCATCATTTAACATTTTCTGTTCAGTTGCCAACCCACAAGCAGGGGGCACGCAAGGCAATCCAGACTGATCAAGTTGGCTGACTGCCTGAGGATTCCTTCTAATGTAAGTTATTATTTTAGGTCTCACATGTTTGGGCTTGGGAATGGCCGGAGTTTCAACCTTGTCTTCAGGCTTCTCCATATCCTCGTTCTCACCATTGCAATTGGCTGGTAGGGGCCCCTTGGAATTTATAAGGATAGGCTTAGGGATCCCACTGTTACATGTAGTTTTAGGCACTTTAGGAGATAAGCTAAATAACTGGGTGCTCTCGCTGGGAGGTAGGGTTGCAGAAGATGGCAGCTTGTCAACATGAAGCGCATAAAGTTCCTTCAAACTGCTGTTGGAGACTGTGCTGTGGCCACTGGCATTCCCAGTTGCAGAAGGGCGCAAAGGAGCTGGGGGACTTTGTGCTATTATTTTGCAGCTTTCCGGTGCATTGTTTGAATGATCTTTCTTTTCGTTAACTATCTTCTTGCTCTGAACTGAAAAATTTGTGGTTTCTAAATCACTGCCCACAAGGCTAAAATTTACCGAGATATTTTCCGTATTTTGTGGTTTGGGAGCTTCCGGATCAGATTGGGCAATTATAACATCTTCACTGGGTCCTTTGAGTAGAATCTGTTTAGTTTCATAGTTATTCAGATGTTTGCTGTCCGTCACATTAACACTATCCATAAAAGACATATGCCCATTAACTGCTGGTATACAACTTGTGCTACCAATGTGTAGGTTTTCATTCCTTGTTGATGTCAATTTACGTATCGTATCATCATCAGGAGCTGAAATAGAATCTACCTCTTTTACAGCTGTATATTCCTCATTTGCTTTGCTTGCTGCTTTGCTGTTGTTTCCTTTTCTTAAATCTGGAGAGCCATTCTCCCTTATCAGACTTCCATTAACCGAGTCAAATCCTTTATTTAAAAACAGATCCTCTTTTGGCAATGGATGTAATTTGGTCTTGTGTATTTCTGTCCCCTTATCCTTTTGATCCTGTACCACAACGTTATTTTCTTCTGCTGGACACCCAAGAAATTCAAACAACATAGCCTTGTTTATTTTTTGCTCACCCACACGCTTCGACTGTGAAGACAGAGGGCACTTCACCTCCCCTTTTCCTCTCTTACCGCTTTGATGGTCAATTTGTGCTTCTGGTTTCCGAAGTTCATTGGATTTAACAGTTAAATGGAGGTCAAGAACAGAATGATGTGGAGGGCCTTGTTTGTTGGCATTTGGTACAGCATCCACACCTGATTGTACAACTGGGGCGCTTGCTCTTTCCATTTCTGAGGTAGACAAATATTTAGGATAAGGTACAATGTTTCTTTCTGACACACCATCAGTTGGATGGAACACCATACCTAAAAAATGGTCTCGTGAAGTTTTCTGAGGTTTTTCTATGTCTCCACTCAAATGATGTGATGTGTTGATGGAATCCAAGGATACAGAAAGCAAGCGTTTACCTGATACACGGCCAACAAATTCTTTTTCTGTTTTAGCCATAAGCTTTCTTGACCTCCCCAAAGAAAGGCGTTTTATTCCTTCTGGTTCAATACTTCTAAGTGTTTTTTCCTTTGAAACATGCTGAATAAGGTCAGCATCGCTTTTTGAAAGTACCACTGAAAAGTTATCACTTGTGTTGATCCTCAGATTGGACAAACTGTGTCCTCGGCTAATGGTGACTAGCTTTGAGGTGTCCTTACGCCCTTCTGGCCTACAATCTGCATGCAATTTCTTGCTGATGGTAGAAGACACTATAAACTCTGATTCACCAGTGATGCCCTGAAGATTGTTCCTCTCAGAGTCTAGTTGTCTGTTGGTTTCTTGCTTACTGGTATGTAAGCAAGCAGATTCTCCTGAAATATTTCTTGTCCTTATTGCTGCTCCAGGGGTTCTGACGTCTGATGTGATTTGATTGGCATTTGAGTCTCCCACAGACACCATGTGTTCATTGTTATTTTTCATCTCATTTCTGTTAGTCTGTAATAGATTGTAACATGACTTGTTGGGAACTAATGGTGCACTCATTTTCAGATTTCAAGTGGCCACGTTGTCCACAGTCTTACTGAAAGGAAATGGTATCTGTGCCAGCCACTATCTGAGCATGCTTTTCTTAAGGGGACTCAAGTCACAAACTTGTCAACCCCAAAAATTCTTTTTTAGACCGGTTTGTCAATCACATGACTCAGTCATTATTAGTTCGGAATGTAAAGCAAAAAAATTCCCATAAGTAAAGATTCAATAAGTGCAAAAAACATCCATTGGAGCAACTCTAAAACTGCAAGAATCCACGGAATCTGTAATAGAAAAAAAAATCAGAATTATTTCTGAAATATCTGAGAATTAGAAGTCTGCACAAGAATAAATTAATGCTATTAACTGACAATATTCTCTCATTATTTTTCAATAGACCAATACACACCTGGAAAATTTCACTTTCTTTCTTTAGTAATGCAAAGCAAAATTACTAAAAGGGGAATAAACTGTGGTAGCTAAGAGTGTGTATTGTAAGCAAGGGAGACTGCGTGAAAGTCTTAATCTAATACGCAATTCACCAAATAACTTTAGACAAGATTGTTTCAATATTAGCTTTAGTCCCTTTTTATAAATCTTTCTTCCAACAGGAATCTGGAACAACGTGGAGGTGAGCAATTGCTTTCACAGATTTTTTTGTGGATTTCCCAGAGATATAAGGTTGATTACTGCATGAATCAATTGTTGATTACTGTACAATTCCATGTTTTTTTTTTAATACTGGGGTTTTATCCTTGTAAGCTGCCCAGAGTCACGAAGAGTGAATTGGGCAGCAATATAAGTTTTCTTCATAAATAATAAATAAGATATTGGCCTTTGGTATGATTCATTATGTTTTTTTTAAATGACATGAGGATAGTAACATGACATTTAATAGGACTGCTGCTGTTGTAAGGATTTATTAAATCTATGTAAAGCACATTAACCACTTTTTAAAAAGCCCATAAATGCTAAGCATTTTTGTATAGATTTTGATCCCACAATCCACAGATAATCCTAACAGACTGCATAATTAAGGTATGTTCTTAGCAAAGTATAGGGGCTGAGATGCTTTACACATGCATCTAATACTTATGAAGATTAGTGAAGGTTTCATTCCTATAATGCTTAATTAATTAAATTAAGGAAACTTAACCCAAAAAATAGGGATTTCATTTAAAGTTTTTAAAAATATTTT